TCTGAAATTTGCTCTGTACACCAGGCTGGCCTTGAAACTCTCAGAAATCTGCATGCCTCTGCCTGCTGGGACTAAAGGCATGCGTCACCACCATCCAGCAAGTTTAAAAATTTTATCACCGGGTACCGGTTACATTAGCTATAATTTATTCATACAACACTCTGCAACTATTCAGCAATGAAGGAGTGTTCCAGAACATTCTAGAAGGATTAGTAAGTGAAGACTCAGGCACCGATATTGGCCAGTAATCCCAGGCAGAGATGATGATGATGATGATGATGATGATGATGATGATGATGATGATGATGATAATGTTAATGTTAATGATAATGATGGTGCAAGTTTCTGGCTAGCCTGGACTGCAGTGTGAAACTGTGTTTCAAACACAAACCTATGCTAAATATTTCTGGTCTAAGTTGGGAGAGTAGGGCAGTAGGAGGGAGCCTGCCCACTGTGTGCAAAGCCCGGATTCCATTCCTGGCACTGTGCCAAAACCTTCTGATATACTATGTAATATAGGATATTTTGAGGTGTCATTAGAAATCAAGCAGCAGACTGGAGGGGTTTGTTTGTTTGAAAAAATTGGCCTCAACCAGGTGATGATGGCACACGCTTTGAGTCCCAGCTCTTGGGAGGCAAGAGGCCGGCCTCTGCTCTACAGAGTGAGTTCTAGGATAGTCGGGGCAACCAGAGAAACCCCATCTTAATAAGCAAAAACAAATCAAACGGAAGGAAGGAAGAAAGAAGGAAAAAGAAAAAAAGAAAGAAGGAAGGAAAGGAAGAAAGATCTCATTGCATTGCATTACCTGTGCTGGCTTCCAACTATTTTCCTTCCAGCTTCTGGGGAACTCTGAATAGGGGAGATTTGTGGGTTTGGAGAAGGCTTATTGAGGGTGGGGGAGTACTTTGGCAACCCCAGCATGGGGTGGGGGGAGGTAGAGGCATTTGGTCTAGAATGAATATAATCAAAGCAACAAGCAAACCTGGTGTGGAGGGATAGCTCAGCCATTACGGCTCTGGCTGCTCTTGCAGATAATCTGACGCCCCCTCTGTCCTCTGAGGGCATTGCAAGCAAAACACCGCACAAAAAACAAACACGAGAAAAATCCCCAAAGCAGCCTTATGACATGTAGTACTAGTTTATTGCTGGTGTTGGGTAGATGCTACATTTACTTACTTACATTGAAGTTTGTTTTGTTATTTTCGTTTTCGCTGTTTATCTTTTTGAGACCGTGTCTCTCTAGCCCTGGCTGTCCTGTGTGAGATCCTCCTGCCTTTGTCTCGCCCAGGCGAAGGGACTAAAAAGCATGCCCACCACACCCGGCAGCAGTGCCTGTCTTTAAAAAGCTTGTGAATCGCGCTTCTCTTTCTGCCGAAGAAATGTCAGTGGCCGCACGGCTTCCTTCTGCCTCCCCCTGCCTCCCCCCCCTGAGGGCTTGCCTGCTTTCCCCCTGGCTCTCCTTTTGTAAGTATCTGTTTGTTGTGCGCGCACCCAGCAGCAGACAGATGACAACTTCCTGAGCCGGCAGGTCCCTGAGCTCAAACTCCAGCTGCCAGGCTTGGCAGTAAGCTCCTTTCCCTACGAACCCCCTCACCAGCCCGGCAGTAAGCAAAGCTCGGTCCTGGTGTTCTTTAGATGTTTTTCGTGGCTCTGGAGTTCGGCTCAAGGTTTTTGAGCGAGTCTCTGTTGTCTGTGTGCAGCCAAGGATTGGGCCCCTGTGCTGCCTGATAGATAGGTCACTGGCCTGTGTGTGCGTGCGCGAGCGCCCTTGAGGCCTTCCTCTGTGAGAGACCAAGTAAATTTTAAAAGAATACTGACTGTAATTTCAAAGAAATTTAAGTAACTAAAACCATAGACAGTACTTGATTCTGTACCTCAGCCAAGGCACGTTGACAAGCTTAAACCACGTGGTGATCAGGGCACCCCTCCCCCCACTGATGTGGGTTGCTGTGCTCAGAACCATTGCCCGAATTCTCGCAGCATGTCCCCCGACGTGTGCTGGGTGGAAGGTGGAAAAGAGGGAGATAAACCCGAAACAAAAAGTCCACACGCGCTGGATCTCTTTCACCAACAAAGCACTTTCTGTCATTAGGTGCCCCGGCCAGCCTGCCCACCTTTTGTTGTTATTTATTTTTTTATTCAGCCCACCCCACCCCCACCCCCGTTCCTTTCCTACCGGGCCCGCATTCCTAGGTCTTTGTCTCTGCTTGGTATTTTAGAAATTTTGGGAGAGGAAGGCAGGGAGGGGTGGGATGTTCTAGAAGCTGGGGGCAGGGAAGGGGGTGGTCACTTGAGGGTCAGAGGTCAGGCCAGCTCCTTTTAGCTAGAGCAGCCAGATTGTCGCCAGGCCCGAGGGGGCGTGTCCATGCATCTGCCAGGGTAGCCCCAAACAGGCGGCACGTAGGCCCTGGAATTCCTGCCACCAGTGGGCTCCACCCTTCCTTTCCTGCTCCCTGGTAGTGGCCGCCACTTTTGGGACCACAGGCTCCTCTACCTAGCTCAGTGTAATTTGTTTTTCCTTACACATTGGCTCCAAGGATCTTCCCTCCCGTTATAGCTTTAAATTGCACTTATTTCTTTTTAGAGGCAGGCTGTGTGGAGAGCGGGATTAGCTTGGAGTCTGACCTCTCCACCATGGGTGGGTCCCGGGAAACACACTCAGGTTGTTGGGCTTGGCAGCCGGCATTTAACTCACCGAATCATCTCCCTAGCCCCTAGTCTATTCATTTAATCATCCAAGGCCTGGGGAGAGAGTTTCCTGGTGTCCTGCCTGCCTGCCTTGTTGAGTGTGTTGCAGTTCTCCTGTCTTAGAAATGGCAGGTCCGGAAGCCTGGCATGCTCCCTAATTTTAACTCCAACTCATAACTGGAAGACCTAAGACATGGCTCTTGCTTTATGGGTTAGCGGCCATGCGTGGCCTCAAGTTGTAGTTGTATTAGTTATTAAGCATGCGAGGCTGTCCTGTGCATCTGTGGCTTATGTTAGCAGCCACTTGGGCGCCTTTGCTTGTCCGAGTCCCCGTTCCTTGGATTTGCTCCCATCCACTTGTGATAGGATTCCGGGCCGCGTTTCACGTGGGACTCACTCCCTTGACTCATTGGAAGCATTTGGTCTCTGCACATCCATTCTTTTGACACCATTGCCTGTTCTCACCAGAATTTCTCTTCCCCGGAGTCCTTCCAGGCTTACTGTAAGGCATCAGGGAGCCTCCTGTGCCTGACATCATGTAAGCTCTATTGTAGGGTTGACAAGCCCAAAGACCTGGGAGTTTCTTTACACTTGGACAATTGCAACTCAGAGATCGGTTTCTTATCATAGCCCAGAATTGCTTGAAAGCTCTTTGCTTCCTGTTGGCTACCCCAGACAGGCTGGTGGTTCCTGGGATTTTAAGGTTAGAAAGGTTGGAGGGGGGGAGACCTAGCCAAACCCCATTTGTTTCCCAAGCACGTCAGAGCAAGTCCCTGGGCAGGTGGTCCAGGCTTGGGGGCCTGAGGTGCCTCTGGTTATAGAGAGCCCTGTAGGCTGGCCATTTGCTTTTGCTCACATCTGGGGAAAGCAAGGGCGCCTTTGGTCAGTCCACATAGAGTTCCCAGAGTTGCCTGTGGAGGAAGGGAAGGTGGCAGGTTTTCACACCTCACTTCAGGAGGGGAGTGATCCCTTTATTGCCTCAGCTGATGGAGGGAGGGAGGAAGAAACCAGGGGAGGAACCCAGTACAACGGCTTTCGGGCCAGCACCACACTGAAACTTGCAGGGATTGCGCTGGGTGATTCAGCGCAGCTGCTTTTGGTTGGTCATCTACAGTTCTCTTGGTGATTTTCAGATTAGCAGACAAGGAGGAAGGACCAGGTTATGTCTAAAGGGTAGGCTTGCTTAAAAAGCTGATTGATGCCTGGTTTTATCCTACCATGTAGTCCAGAAAGTGATCAAAACTGGTCACAGTCAACATTTCCTTGTGCGGATCCCACAAAAGATCTGTGAGATTAAGCAGAACATCCGAATCTTCTGTCTTGGGATGCAGGCACGGGAGACAGCAGCTTCTCACTTGGCTCTTTCTCAGCTCTACTCTGGGGACCCCCGTGTAACTTACCCACCTCTCCCCACAGGGGTGTGCGTGTGTCTCCTCCAGCCTTTCCTGGCTCCTCCAGGATCCGAACACGATGTGGTGTTTTGTCACGGGTGGGGCGGGCAGCCCGGGGCTTGGCTCAAAGTGTTCCCGCTGTGTGGTCCAGAGCACCTCCTGTCTTCACGATGAGATTTAAGTGTGTTGCCGCGTGTGGCAAAGAATGCAGCTCACGCATTGACTCCTTGTGTCGAGAATCAGCTTTCCCCGCCCCCAGCTACTCTTGAAATCAATCCAGCAGAGTGGCTGGTTTCCATCCCGAGCCCTCTCTCCTGCTCTGAGAGCCTCTTGCCTGTCAGCAGGTGAGGGGTGTCCAGTACATCTCTCCCCCTTCCCCAGCACATGGGCCTGGCTGCCTCCCAGGTTCAACTACTCGGAATAATTTGGCAGAGAAGAGAGGCAGGCAGATCTTACGGTTAGTTAGCTTTTGGCCTTGATTCTGAAAACTTCATCCTGTAACTAACTTGTTGGAGTGCCCAGGAGACAGACAAGTGCTGACCGCACCTTGCTGAGGGCTTGGAAGAAGACATCTATACTGCCTCCTGACCTTGTTTCTCACACGGGAGTGCCTACAGGGGACCCCACCAGCCCGCCAGCAAGGCTGCTCTATATACTTTGCAGTTGAGTTGTGACTCTGACTCACGCTGCAGCCGATGGCACCTGGGTGGGGATCCCCCTGATTCGGGGCATCGGGCATGGGGAAGGACCATGGGCTCCAAGTGTTTACACCTATGACAGACAGTCTTGTGCCTCGATGAGGGAGGGGACATGAAATGCTCGGGGGAGGACGGTTTGATCTAGGTGAGTTGGGCTTTTTTTTTTTTTTTTTTTTTTTTGCCTCCCCTCTGTTCACACCTGTGTTTGTTTCTGGTCCTCAGGTACTGCATCTATACTGTGACACCTGCTCTGTTCCCATCTGTAGAGAGTGCACGCTGGGCCGCCACGGGGGCCACAGCTTCGCCTACCTCCAGGATGCCCTCCAGGACTCACGGGCCCTCACCATCCAGCTGCTGGCTGATGTGCAGCAGGGCCGCCAAGCTATCCAGGTCAGTCATGTACTCAGACCTCCCTTGTCCCTTCTGGAGGGCGTGTGAAAGATGGGCAGGCAGGGGTCGTGGACTATGACATCCAGACTACTGTGGTCCTAGCAGTGTCCAGAAGAGGGCAGATTCGTGGTCTGAGTTGCTGGGTTAGATTGGCAGAGGTTTGTTTGGCAAGCATTGGGTTTGCATTGGGGCTGCAGGGACTATGCACCTGATTCTCTTTAGGCACAGTCATTTGACGCCCAGATTTACTTACTGGGGCTTGAAGCTTCCCCAGTCATAAAGCCTTGTGATTTAAATGCTTGTCCTTGAATTGCCATCATTCCTTTTATGGTTGGGGAGGGACATGTGTGACATTTCAAGAATCTGGCCAAGTTCTCCTACATTGTTAAACAGTGGTATTATACGTAGTTGATTGATGTTAATTCTTCCTGTCTATTATTCTGCGTGACAGGTGTTTAGGAAATTATGGACATGTTTCCCATGAATTACAAGATAAGCTTGAAAGAAGAGAAACGTTGCTAAATTTCCAGCAGAAATTGTATAGGAAGCTCATTACCTATGTTTTTGAAGTATTTAGGCTAAGCAGCTTTTTAAGGTCATCTTTTGGGTGGCATACTACAGAATTGAGCGCTCTGCTGACAGTTCGAGAGTGTTGGGTTGCAGGTGTGCGCTGCCACACCTGGCTGAGTTTGAAGGTCTAACTGAGAATATTTAAGTTCCCAGCAGCCGTCAGGTTTGTATGTGTGACATTAGAGTGGTCTTTTCCTATTGATTAGATCTTCTTTCCTCTCCTAATGTTCAAACCCGTTGTTCAAATACGGGTTAAAGAACATGTTTCTGGAGTGACAGGATAGGTCCTGCCACCAGGATTGGGACTGCATAGGTTTGTTTTTTTTCCTTGTTTTTGGTTTTCTGGGCATCAGATTCCCCCCGGAACTGGGAGTTACAGAGTGTTGAGAGTGGCCGTGTAGGCGCTGGGACCCAAACCTGGGATCTCTGCAAGGGTAGCCAGTGCTCTTACATGACGAATCCCCTCTTCCTCTTTCTTTCAAACGTCTGTACAGCTGAGGGGCCTGGTGTCTCCTAACCTGGAGCTCTAGAATTCCAGGCAAGCCTTGAAAAACAACATTAGGTTTGTGTAGTGGCCCTCTGTTGCTTCTTTAAAAAAATTATTTACTTTATGTGCAAGTTATTTACTGTATGTGCATTGGTGTTGCCTACATGTATGTCTGTGTGAGGGTAACGAGACTTCCTGGGAACAAAGTTACAGATAGTTATGGGCTGCCATGTGGGTGCTGGGAATTGACCCCAGGTTCTCTGGAAGAACAGTCAGTGCTCTTAACCTCTGAACCATCCCACCAGCCCCCATTTCTTTTCTTTTTTTTTTTTTTTTAATTTGTGTTTTCTTTAATGTGCATGTATGGAAGAGCGTGCCAGGTCCCTTGAACTGGACTGAGATGGTTTGTGAGCAGCAGTGGGAACCGGGAACCAGCCTGGGTCCTCTACAAAAGCAGCAAGTGTTCTTAACTTAACCTCTGCCTCTGCATAAGCACATTCGGAGGTGTGTGTGTGGTTTTTTTTTTTTTTTTTTTGGTTTTTCCAGACAGGGTTTCTCTGTGGCTTTGGAGGCTGTCCTGGAACTAACTCTTGTAGACCAGGCTGGTCTTGAACTCACAGAGATCCACCTGCCTCTGCCTCCTGAGTGCTGGGATTAAAGACCAACGCCCGGCTTTTTTTTTTTTGGCCCCCATTTCTTAAGTTATTGTATCTCCATTGTTCTGCTCTGTGATGATATGTCTGTCTCCACAGATAATGTGGTTACAATTGGAATTCCCTAAGAACTATTTAACTCAGTATGGTGTCATCCCTGGCTGGGGAATAAGAGCTGCATGGGGGGAGGGGCTGGGGCACACAGTATGCCTTTCCCTGGGTCCTACTCAGTGCAGGCACCCACCTGCCACCCTACTGCTCTACCAAGCATGCCACGCGATCTCCTGCCTATCCTAAGGTCTTTGTATATTCTTAAATACTCCATTTCTGCCCTTGGTGTTTTGTTTTTAGATTGAGACAGGGTTTTCCTATGGACCCTGACTATTCTGGAACTTGATTTATAGATCAGGATGGTTTTGAACTCAGGGAAGAATCTCCTTCCTCTGCTTAAGTGATGGGATTAAGGGAGGATGCCATCACATCTGGGTCTCCATAGAGACTGATAGCAACCAGGCGGCCAATGAACATGATAGATCTAACGCTGTACATTCTTTGCTTTGTGTGCTCAGCCACTCTAGGGAGTTGTCAAGAGTTAATGGAGAGGGCTGGAGAGATGGCCTAGCAGTTAAGAGCCCTGGCTGCTTGCTCTTCCAGAGGGCCTGAGTTTAATTCCCAGCAACCACATGGTGGCTACAACCATCCTTAAGGAGGTCTGGTGCCCTCTTCTGGCCTGCAGGCACACATGGAGGCAGGACACTGTATAGATAATAAATAAATTTGAGTGCTGGGTTAAAGGTGTGTGCCACCAACGCCTGGCAGTACAGCTCTTTGTAACTGTTTGATTTGACATCCACTTTGGCCTTCAAGCATCTACACACACCCCTTCCCTCCCTCCTGAAATTCAGGGTTTCACCAAGCAAAAGGCCAGCCTCAAATTCTTGTCGTGGAGTACTGGGGTTAAAGGTGTGCAACACGACTCTCATCTCTTTGAGGAGCTGGGGCCTCACATTTGTTAGACATGTTCAGTTTCCATAGGCCGGGCGTTGCTGGCGCATGCCTTTAATCCCATCACTCGGGAGGCAGAGGCAGGCCCATCTCTGAATTCGAGGCCAGCCTGGTCTACAGAGCAAGTTCCAGGACAGCCTCCAAAACAATACAGAGAAACCCTGTCTCGAAAAACAAAAACAAAATAAACAAAATGTTCAGTTTTCCATTGATTCACACTTTCAGCCCTCCAGCTTTATTTAGAAAATAAGCTTTCCCTAGCAATTCCTTTTCCCAAAATTGATCTGTTTGCTGCCTGGTGCCTCCCTCCTCCACTTTGGAGGTAATAACCACAGTGTAGAAAAGATTCGACACTTGCTGGTCACTGACCATGTTTCTGTCACCAAATTGCTGCCAGGCCCTGGACTCAGCAGTTAAAAACCATGGCATATGAAGCCTGGTTGGTTGGCCTTTCTCTGAGGGGCTTCGAGGGTACCCCAATACCTCTTTTTTCCCACCAGCCTTCCTGTCTGACACCTTCAATATTTGCTGGTGTGCTTGAATCTCCACAGGCATCTTGGCTTTTATCTGATTAAATTACGGCTTAGTCCACTGACTGCCAGTCAGAGTCTCTGGGTGACCCTGCACTGGCAGCTGCCTTGAGAGACCCAACAAGTCCTTAAATATTAGGTACCCTATAAAGAGAATCCCAAGCGCCCCCCTTCCCCCCCATCAGGAGGGGGCCTACCAATGCACCCATGCATTCAAAGCTCTTAGGGCTTTTCATTGTCTGTATTTTATGACTTTTCCTGGGTGGTGTGCCTGTGTGTATGTGCACACTTGTGGGAGTCTGTTCTCTTACACCATATGGATTCCAGGTCATGAGACTTTGGCAAGCACCTGTGTCCATTGAACATAGATAGTAGTTCTCTGTCTTCCTCAGTGGGGGCTGGAGAGATGGCTCGGCAACAAGGTTAAGAGCACTGGCTGCTTTCCCAGAGGACCTGCCTCGATTCCCAGCACCCACATGGCATCTTTACAGTTGTCTGTAACTCCAGGTCCAGGGGATCCGACTCCCTCACACCGACATACATGTAGCCGGCAAAACACACTAGTACACATAAAATAAAAATCATTTAGAAAAAACAATTAGGACTTTTTTTTTTTTTTTGTCTTTTTTGTTTTTTGAGACAGGGTTTCTTTGTATTGCTTTGGAGGCTGTCCTGGAAATCGCTCTGTAGACCAGGCTAGCCTCGAACTCACAGAGATCTGCCTCTGCTTCCCAAGCACTGGATGCTGGGATTAAAGGAGGGCACCACCAATGCCCGGCTCAAATTAGGACTTTGTTGTTGTTGTTTGGGAGGGGGGTGTTCGAGACAAGGTTTCTCTGTGACTTTGGCGCCTGTACTAGAACTCACTCTGTAGATGATGCTGGCCTTGAACTCAAGAGATTCCCCTGCCTCTGCCCCCCGAGTGCTGGTATTAAAGGCGTGCGCCACCAACACCCATCTAGGACTTTTTTTTTTTTAATCCATCTTCAAAAGTTTAAGATAAGTTTTGAAGAATTGTTATTATGTGTATGGCTGTTCTGCCTGCAGAGTTAATGTGTGGCGTGAGTGCCTGGTGTCCATAGAAGCAGAATCGGGCACTGAACACATCCGATTGCTTGGTAGCTGATTTTAATGTGGTGAAGATGTCAAGAGTGGACGGTGGGAGTCCCGTGTGTGTATTCGAGGCTCCCACTCCTTGGCCAGTGTCAGTAGTGGCTGCCCTGCAGGAGCCAGCTGGTATGCACAGTTGGCGTCATGGCCCTCTGTTGCCATCTAATGGTCTTTCAGAAGATCATAGTTAGTTCTCTAAGCCCGGTCAAAAGTGTCTGTAAATCCAGACAGACACTCATACATAAAAGTAAAGTAAAACACGGCTTTGGTTTCTTTTGTTTTTTCGAGACAGGATTTCTTTCTTCTTCTTTTTTTTTTTAAGATTTATTTATTTGTTATGTATACAGTGTTCTGTCTGTATCCATGCCTGCAGGCCAAAAGAGGGCATTATTACAGATGGTTGTGAGCCACCATGTGGTTGCTGGGAATTGAACTCAGGACCTCTGGAACAGCAGTCAACACTCTTAACCTCTGAGCCATCTCTCCAGCCCGACAGGGTTTCTCTGTATTGTTTTGGAGACTGTCCTGGAACTCACTTTGTAGACCTGGCTGGCCTCGAACTCACAGAGATCCGCCTGCCTCTGCCTCCCGAGTGCTGGGATTAAAGGCCTGCGACACCACCGCCTGGCATAAAACACATTTTTAAAATGAGTATTCCGTGCAGCACGTGTTTTGGAACAGAGATCTATCTCTCTTAACTGCAAAGGCCGCCGCCACCGAGGCCTCTTCCTCCCTGCAGACCCAGTACCTGCGGCCGTGTGTTCAGGCCCAGGCCCATTGCACCTCTGTACAAAGCCCTCTTCACCATCCCGAGGAATTCCTCGGCCCTTACTTTAAGTTGCTCGGGTGCCACAAGACCTTTAAATCCCTTCTGCCCGTTGAAAGGCACAGAGCTTCCAGTAAGTACAGCCGGGGGGTGATAGGTACACGAAGGCCTCCGGGGACGTCCTAAGACGCAGATGAGTGAAGCTGGCCAAGAGGGGCGTGGCTGTCCTCCCCAGGTGAGAGAAGGGCCATCGCTCCCACTTTGCACCGGTCCTTTCTGTAGGGGCCACGCATTTGCATAGAGTGTTGACCAGCATCAGCACAAGTTAGTCATTTAAGAAGGGGCACCCTCAACTCAGAAAATGGCCCCACTATAGCGGCCCGTGCCGCCTTTCCGGTTGATGATGGTTGTAAGACAAGCCGTCTCCCCTCCCAGGTCCCTTACCGTAATGGTTTTCATCAAGCCAGGAGACCTGTGAGACGCAGCTATTGCATTTTTGAAAATCACTTTAAAGGTGATGATTGGCATGCGGGTGGTATCTGGTTAACACATGTAAGCGCGTTTGGTACATTTTGCCAGCTAGCTGTGTGTGGGAAATGCATGCATGTGCCTTTGTGTTCGTGTGGAGTTCAGAGAACCTGTCACCACCATTTGGGTCCCAGCCTGCAGCAGGCACCTTTACCTGCTGAGCTAACTTGTGGCCCCTCATTTGCATATATACAGAGTCCTTCATCTTCCCCTTGCGCCCCCCTTCTAGGACAGTCAGGCCTTCACAGAGAGACCCTGTGCTGTCTTGAAAAAGGGTCAGCTAGCCTGTTCACTGTGGGTGTTGGTGACCCACCTGCACAGAGTAGTGTCGGCCATTCTGCACTTGCTGCTTACTCGATCTTGTTTTTTTTTTTTTTGGATGCAGGATCTGTATGTAACTCAGGCTGCCCTTGAACTCAGAACCACTTGCCTCTGCATTCTGATCTTAGGAATTATATATAGGATGTGCCACTCAGGCCGGAAAGCTTCACATTACAAGTATTGGAAAAGGGGACCCCCACTCCCAAGGTAACTTCCTTTAGAAACATAGACTTCCCAGAGGTTAATTAAGAGAAATCTGAAGGTGTGTGTGTTACACACACGCACAATTAAAAACAAACTCCTTTAAAAAAATTAAGATGGAGTGGGTAGGGATGGCTGGGTGGTTAAGAATACTTGTTGCTCTTAAAGTCCTAGCTCCCACATGGTGTTTTGCAATGATTTATAACTCCAGTTCTAGGGATCTAACGCCCTCTCTTTAGACTTTAGCCAGCATTAGGCATACACCTGATTCATATACATACATGCAAGCAGAACACTTATACATGTAGTAAACATTAAATAAATAAAACCCCTTTTAAAAAATCGGGGCTGGAGAGATGGCTTAGAGGTTAAGAGCACTGACTGCTCTTCCATAGGTCCTGAGTTCAATTCCCAGCGACCACATGGTGGCTCACAGCCATCTACAATTCAGTCTGGTGCCCTCTTCTGGCATGTAGGCAGAACACTGTATATGTAATAAATAAACCATTAAAAAAAATCAAGGCTGGCTGTGGAGGCACATGCCTTTAATTCCAGCAGAGACAGGTGGGTCTCTGAGTTTGAGGCCAGCCTGGTCTATAAAGTGAGTTAAAGAGAGAGACTGCATCCTACCCTGTGGACAGTCTGTAAGCACCTAGAGTCAGCTGCAGCTTAGCACCTCACAGTTTGGGGGTTGACAGGCAGCCATACGAAAGCCCCCAGGCCAGGAGGTAGCATGTAGGAGTCCCAGCCATACATAAGTACTGGACTTCCTGGCTTGGAAGAGTGTTTGTAAAAAGAAGGCAGGCCATCCGTGTCTGTACCAACAGCAGAGAGGTGGTTTCCACGAGGAAGGGGCCTGCGGGGGACTTGGTTTCAGAGCACGAGAGTTCTGGGTGGCAGTGACGGCTGCACCGGGGTCACAGAATGTCACTGGTGGTTGTTTCCTTTCTGTTCTGCGGATCTCACCACAACTGATCGGTAGACACAAAATAAGAAATGTTGGAGGCCAGTGAGGTGGCCCAGTGGCTCAGTTCTGCCAAACCCAACGCCCTGAGTTCCGTGGCTGGGACCCACAAATGTGGAAGGAGAGGCTGATGGTCAAATTGTCCTCATGCCCCTGCGTGTGTGCCGTGGTGCCTATCTATGTGTGTGTATACATACTTATCACCTGAGTGGCACGCACACACACACACACACACACACACACACACACACACACACACACACACACACACACACACACACACACACACACACCCTCAGTTTCTTACATGCCTCAGCCAAGAGCTGAGCCCCGGGTAGCAGCAGCAGTGTGTGACTCGGTGCTTGGTTCTCTGCACGTTTTATCCTGGGCTTCTCTCATGTTGCTGTCAACCAGGGTTTGAGAGGATTGTGGTAAATGCCTACCACTGCTCTCCCTGTCCGCTGCTCTCCCTGTCCGCTGCTTTCCCGTCCACTGCTTTCCCTGTCCACTGCTCTCCCACTGCTTTCCCTGTCCGCTGCTTTCCCGGGGGTTTGGCTGTGCACGCGACGCTTGCACCTTCTGTGCCCACCTGGTCAGACCATCTGCTCTAAAATGGGCTCCTGACAGCCAAAATCCTGTTTCTCGGTGTCTCAAAGAAATCCTTGTGGGTGGGGCTTTTTTTGAAGACGCTTCATGTAATATTAACAAACACACCAGCCCTTCTGGATTAATTTTTTATGAACAATATGTCGGATTCAGCCAGCTGATATACTGAGCTGGTGGGTGAGATGAAGGGCCCCTGGCTGCAGGGCGTGATTGATGGTTTTCTTAGGTTAGATCAGGTGATACTCCCACAGTGCACATTGTGTTGGTTCCTGTTTGGTCAGGGGAGATTGCTGACAGCTGATGCACGGGAGAAGCCGCTAACCCATGTCAGCGTGCCATGAGGCCCCTCCCTGGCATGCTGACCTGTAAGAGTCTTCGGGTTCAGGGAGTAACTCCAAGAGATCTGAAATCTGTGGCGAGAGAGCTGTAAACTTTATATCCGAGGCTCATTCCCAGTATTTGACTCTGTTGTCAGTCTCCCTTAATAGTCTTGATACTCACCGGAGGCGCCATTTCTGAAACACAGAGAGACCCACCTCTCAACTCTTCAATTCCACCTCCGCAGGTGCCAGCAACATTGTTCGAGCTTGAGCCCCTCAAGGCCCGACGGAAGCTTCTGTCTCAGGCAAGGAGTGGGGTCCCTTCCAGTGCCTAAAGTTCCTGTTTGCTTTTCTAGCTGAGCATCGAGCAGGCCCAGACTGTGGCAGAACAGGTTGAGATGAAGTCAAAGGTGGTCCAGTCAGAGGTCAAGGCCGTGACAGCCCGCCACAAGAAGGCCCTGGAGGAGCGCGAGTGTGAGCTCTTGTGGAAGGTAATGGCGTGCGCGGCTCCCCTAGTCTGGCCTGTGCTGAACTCTCTAGCTTCATTTCTGATCTGAGGCCCGAGTTCTATGTTTGGAACAGCTGGTAATTTTCCAGAAAGATGGGGTGGAGGGAGGTGTCCCTGGAACGCTGGATGTCATTCATGTAGAGAAACAACAAGAAACCCTTTCAGAAGCCCCAGTATCCAGGATGGGGCAGGGCTCAGGTTTTCTGTTGCTCACCCTGGAAAGGAGACAGACAAGAGGGAGACAATCGGAGCTCTTGTTAGCAGAGGGAGGGGTGGATAGGAAACAGGCCTTATTTTTGGTGTCCTGGCTGTCTATACTTCCTGACCCCATGTGGAAAGCCTCCACTTGCTGAGGGTGGGGGGGTGGGGCGGGGAGATGGGGAGTGTGTTTCCTGTTGAAGGCAGGGGAGAGCTCTGGAGGGCCAGTAGATAAGAATCAGCTGGGAAGACTCGCCAATCCACTCACAGCAGCACCTTAGCCATGCTGGGTGTGTCCCCCCCACCCGAGAAGAACGGCCAGCTCGGGCTACCTACAGTACAGGCCGGTATTCAACCCTGATTCTGAACACAGGGCTGCAAAAGTGACTGTCAGGTGGCTTATTTTGAGCTAGTACAATGGTAGGGACAATGTCTTAGTTCCCTTAAAATTAGTTTAAGATTTTTTTTTTAAATTGTGTGGGCGCTGGGCAGTGACGGCGGCCCGCGCATGCCTTTAATCCCAGCACTCAGGAGGCAAGGCGGATCCGTCTACAAGAGCTAGTTCTGGGACAGCCTCCAAAGCCACAGAGAAACCTTGTCTCGAAAAATGAAAACAAAAAAGTAAAATAAAATAAAAACTGTGTGGGCATTTGACTCATGCCTGTGGAGGCATAAAATTCCCCAGAGCCCGAGTTTCAGGTGAGCTTCCTGACCTGGGTGCTGGGAACCAAACCCTGGTCTTTGGCCAAGAACATTCCATGCTGCGCACTCAAGTGCTGTGCCGTCTCTCCCGCCCTTGTTTTAACTATGTGTGCTGAGTGTGGCTTTTGTGCATGTGAGTTGCAGGTGCACACAGGGCCCAGAAGAGCGTGTGGCTCTCCTGGAGCTGGGATTGCAGATAGTTGTAAGCCTCTTGACAAGGACTGTCATGTGGATCGAACTGGGGTTGTTCTACAACAACCCCGTTGCTGTCAGGCCCTGAGATGTTGTGTGTCAGACAGTGAGAATTGGCGCTAGCAAGCCCCTCTTCTGGATTCCCTGGTGGCCGTGGTAGCTCTGGGGCATTGTTTTGGCTGTGCTCCTTCCTCACTGGCTTGCCTAGGGTTTTGTTTGTTTGTTTGTTTTGTTTTGAGTTGGGTGTCTCTCTGTAGGCGCCCGGCTTCCTGGAACTCACTGTGTAAGGTCAGAGATGCACTTTCCCCTGCCTCCCGCTCCCAAGTGCTGGGATTGAAGGTGGGTGTTGCCACACCTAGCTCTGTAGCGGTTCTTTTGGCGAGGTTGGAAGATGCCATCCCCCTCCCCCCGTGTGTTATTAGACCATGTCTATTTTCCCTCGGAGTCCCTGTTCTTCAATAAACTTGCTCGTTTCGTAGACGCCTCCATCTCATCCTCATTTCACTCCTGTTGGTACAATAAAATATCCCAACAAAGGAGAGTCTATTCTGTTATATAGTCCGTGGTTGAGGGAAAGTAAAAAGCAGCATGGCACCCACGTTCCAGAGCAGAGAGAGGTGAATGTGTGTGTGGTAGTGGTCCAGCTAGCTTTTGGGGTGTGCCTTCTTCCTCCAGGGAATCCAATTCAGAAAGATACCTCACAGACAGGCCCATATAGCTAGCCTACAATGATCTAGACTTTCCCACAGAGACCCTGTCCCAGGTAGTCTAGTTTTATCAGATTGACAGTTAAGGCCTGCTGTGGAGGAACACAAAGCAGTTGGACTTCTGTGAGTTCAAATCCAGCCTGGCTTATCTAGTGAGTCTGTCTAACACCACAGACACAGACAGACAGACAGACAGACAGACAGACAGACAGACACACACACACACACACACACACACACACACACACACACACACACACACACCCCTCCCAGGGATCTAGCCCCTCTGACCTCTGTGGGTACCCGCACTCATATGCACACACTTAAAACAGCAACATTTATTTATTTATTTATTTATTTTTGGTTTTTCGAGACAGGGTTTCTCTGTAGCTTTGGAGGCTGTACTGGAACTCACTTGGTAGACCAGGCTGGCCTCGAACTCACAGAGATCCGCCTGCCTCTGCCTCCCGAGTGCTGGGATTAAAGGCGTGCGCCACCAACGCCCGGCTAACATTTATTTTTTTAATCTAGACCTCAGAAAAGTTGTTGTGGGCCTCATAGCTTTCAGGCCAGTCTTGGTGCTAGGCAAACCTGGAATTGGGTTGCTTCTGATGGTGGCAGTCACCTTGCTCAGAGCCACGGAACTGAAGAATTGAATTGAATGCAAAAGGAATGTTCTGATTTGTTTGTCAGATAGTAAGATCTAGTTCCACGTAATTCGGGTTTTTGTGCCTCCACTCCAGGTCTCGGCGTGGGTTTCTCTCACACACACTCTGTGCTTGGTTCTGAGTCTGTTTCTGCTCTCCCATCTCCAGGTGGAGAAGATAAGGCAGGTCAAGGCCAAGTCTCTATACCTGCAGGTGGAGAAGCTTCGTCAAAACCTCAACAAGCTGGATAGCACCGTCAGTGCTGTGCAGCAGGTCCTGGAAGAGGGCCGGGCCTTGGACATCCTGCTGGCCCGAGACCGGATGCTGGCCCAGGTGCAGGAGCTCAAGACCATCCGGAGCCTCCTGCAGCCCCAGGAAGACGATCGAGTCATGTTCACCCCCCCTGACCAAGCCTTGTACCTGGCCCTCAAGTCTTTCGGCTTCGTGAGCAGCGGGGCCTTTGCCCCGCTCACAAAAGCCACAGGAGATGGCATTAAGCGGGCCCTTCAGGGCAAAGTCGCCTCCTTCACCGTGATGGGCTACGACCACGACGGCGAGCCTCGACTCTCGGGGGGTGACCTGATGTCGGCTGTGGTCCTGGGTCCCGATGGCAACCTGTTCGGGGCAGAAGTAAGTGATCAACAGAACGGGACCTACGTGGTGAGCTACAGGCCGCAGCTCGAGGGGGAGCACCTGGTGTCTGTGACCCTGTGTAACCAGCACATAGAGAACAGCCCCTTCAAGGTGGTGGTCAAGTCGGGCCGCAGCTACGCGGGCATCGGGCTCCCTGGGCTGAGCTTCGGCAGCGAAGGCGACAGTGAGGGCAAGCTGTGCAGGCCCTGGGGCGTGAGTGTGGATAAGGAGGGCTACATCATCGTGGCTGACCGCAGCAATAACCGCATCCAGGTGTTCAAACCCTGTGGCTCCTTCCACCACAAGTTTGGTACCCTAGGTTCCCGGCCTGGGCAGTTTGACCGGCCCGCCGGGGTGGCCTGCGATGCCTCCCGCAGGATCGTGGTGGCGGACAAAGACAATCATCGCATCCAGGTCTTCACTTTCGAGGGCCAGTTCCTCCTCAAGTTCGGCGAGAAAGGCACCAAGAACGGGCAGTTCAACTACCCGTGGGACGTAGCAGTGAATTCCGAGGGCAAGATCCTGGTCTCGGACACCCGGAACCACCGCATACAGCTGTTCGGGCCTGACGGGGTCTTCCTGAATAAGTACGGCTTCGAGGGGTCTCTCTGGAAGCACTTTGACTCGCCACGGGGCGTGGCTTTCAACCATGAGGGGCACCTGGTAGTCACCGATTTCAACAACCACCGGCTCCTGGTCATTCACCCTGATTGCCAATCAGCACGCTTCTTGGGCTCCGAGGGCAGCAACAACGGGCAGTTCCTCCGACCTCAGGGCGTGGCTGTGGACCAGGAAGGGCGAATCATTGTGGCCGACTCCAGAAATCACCGGGTGCAGATGTTTGAAGCCAACGGCAGCTTCCTGTGCAAGTTTGGTGCTCAAGGCAGTGGCTTCGGACAGATGGACCGCCCCTCGGGTATTGCGGTCACCCCAGATGGATTGATCGTCGTGGTGGACTTTGGCAACAATCGAATCCTCATCTTCTAATTGCATCTTCTGGGTTTCCGTGTTTAGGGTGTGCATGTGTGTCTCTCTTTTTTTTTTTTTTTTTAATTTCAAAGAAGAAATCATCTCAGGGATATTTCTTTTACTTTTCCTCCCCTTTTTTATTTTTTTTTTAAGAGAACAAAAGTACAACATTGCTTTAAGTCCTACCTCATCTTTTTTTTTTTTTTTAAACAGATGAATGTAATTCTCTTGTGCAGGGATGGAGCCTGTGAAGTGATACTTTCTATCTACCTCAGATCTTTGCATGGCCCTGCTAGCAGCCCTCTTTGCTCCTCCATGCTTGCATTCCCTCCCTCTTGAGGGTATGGAATGCACAGGCCTGCGCTCCTGCATCCTCGAGGGCACTGGAAGCATATGGTGGGGTGCATTTCATAGATTGAGCCAAGGAAACCCAAAAAAAAAACCTTACTAAGTAAAAAAGGAAAGTGTAAGGTGTTGGAAAGATAGGATTTAAAATTCATGGTTCTAGAGTATTTGTGTTCTTGGGAGTACTGTGTGCATGGGTTAGGTTGTTTGATCTTTCTTGGGGAAAAAAACTTCCTTTTTTTTTTTTTTTCTCTTTTAAATGCTGCAACAGAGCTTTCCTCTGTTCTCGGGTTTACCTCAGTGTCTAACATCTTCATCCCTAGGATGGCTGTGGCTTGCTAGCCAAGAAAAGCAGACCATTCATATTTTAGGTGTCTGGTCTTTTGTTTCTGCTTAAGAAAGGGGTGTGTGTATGTGTGCGTGCGCTGCGTGTGTTTCAAAGCCGTCTTCGCCTGGGGCGGGGAAAGCTGGACTTGACACCTGGCATCCCAGGGAACGCTGTCTTCCCAGTTTGCTTTCTGAAAAGTAAGTTTAGCTCAGGACTCTCAGTTAAAAGTGTTCTCAAGTTTCTGTGTTTTGTTTAGAAAGACTTAGGTATAAGCAAATAAGTCAACCTTGTTCTCAGAGAGGGGCTTTCCAGATGTGGACCGGGTGCCACAGGCATGGTGGTTGCTGGAGAAGGGAGGCGCCCCCACATCAGGGACTGCTCAGGAGGGCGGGGATCCCGTCCCAAGAGTGAACGTTCTGCAGGAGTGTAGAGTAGGCAAAGGGATAAACTTTTATTTGAAAAGCACAATTTTTTTTCCTGCTTTGGAAGTTCAGGGACTATGGAAGAATGTTTGAATGAGAAGTAGGAGCCCCATCCCCGCCCCCTTGGCTCAGGTCTCTTTTTCTTTTCCTCAGGATCCTTGAACCTGAGTGGAGTCAGACCTCAAGGTTAACATGAACCCCACTCCCTACCCCCAAAGGCCTTTGAATGTAAAGCATTTGTAAACCAAATCCCCACTAACCCAAAGTGCAGGACACAATATATATCCTTTTTAAGCCTGTACCAAAGAATAGAAACGTGGGTGTATGTGGCTCCCGTGCCACTTAAAGACTGATTGTGGCGACCCTCAGATTGGATCTTGTCGATGACATCATCATCTGAGGATGAGGACCCGGCCAAGCCCCCAAACTCCTCACTACTGAAATCAGATCGGATTCGAAAGGGGCTCCCATCGCTGGCTGAGGACGGAAGAGCTCCTGCCCGAAACAGACCAAAAGATCGTTTTTCTGTCCAGAATGGATTTGGTTTTAAAAGAAGAAAGGTAATAAATGGAGCGGTTACTTCCTGTCATCCCAAGGAGAAGGTGGTGATGGACCAATCCGATTGCTCGGGGACATTTTAACTTGCCAGTATGAACTACCGCGTCCATTCCCATGACTTTCAGTTTCAGGATTTCTGGGTGACCCAAAATGGGGAAGCGGGTGTCAGAGTTGCTTCATCAGGGAGAATGGTACACAATCAGGGAACCCCAAAAGTAGCTTCTGGCTGCCGACTCCCCACTTACAGGAATGATGACAGGAGCACAAGCTCCTTTGCTAAAAAAAATTTAATGGTGGGTCCTTCTCCAATTCATATGCTTACAGCCTTTCTTATGCCCCCTAAGTGTTAACATGACTTTTATAGGGCAGAGTAACCGGGAGGCAACTCCCCCCCCCCCCCCCCAGTCTGCCCAACATGTTCTTAAACACTCAAAGCAACTGACTTTTCATCCTTAATGATGATTCTAATCCGAAAAAATGGATCTTGATAACTAACATTCTCAGGAACTGGATTTTAATTGTGGCCAGGGAAAAGCTATTTTTCAGTGCTAATTCTAGTTTTTTGCCGTTCCTCCTCACAGCTTACCTATGGCAGGAATGCTGGCTGTTCAGTGGGAAATTTTTCTGGTGAATTACGACAAATACAAATACTTGATGTTTTACTTAGGATTTGATCGCTCAGTCCAGGTTTCCACCTCATGGCTGAAATGGTTGGGTCTTAAAGAGAAGTGGATAGGCCGTCACAGGCTTAGAGCAGGGTGGGTGTGTCCTCAGAGGTAGGCGCTCTTTTGCCTTTCTGTATCCAGAATGGTGTTTGCCTGGCTTCTAAGAGACACGGTCACACTTGGAGAACTTTTGTTTTTGAAACAAGTGGCCATTTGTGGCCTCCTGAGGTTGACTCCTGGCCTGTGGGGGCTCTGGTGCTAAGCACTTTGGAGAGTGTAATAGTGGACTGTCCCATATCATGATACAAAGCATGCTTGGTGCACCCTCATGTGAGGATGCCATTCGTGTGTGCGTGGGGTACAACCGGAGAGAGACTGGGCCGGGTCCCGGGAGGCAGGCAGGCAGGCAGGCAGGCAGGCAGCCGTCCCCATGGAGACCTTCCCTGGTTAGGTGACAGAAGTTGGAGAGGGTGAGGACCAGGAGGTCCCTATTGGAAGTGAACACATCTAAGTTTGAGTATTAAACACCTGCTTGCCACCTGCTTAACATTCCAAAAGTATAGAAGAAATGACTAACCTCGTGAGGCAACCCTGTCTGCCTCCGTAGAGGTGCTCTGTTGCAGCTGGCAGGTGACTCCTAAAGGTGGCTCCGGCCAGTTGTCTGGGCCGTCCCCTGAGTGCACTAAACTCCTCGTGGATACCCTCTTTAAGTCTAACTTATCTGGGGAAACATACAAGGGTACCCTAAACAGAACTGGACTTGGTGTTGGGCCAAAGGATGTGCAGGCACTTTGAGGTGGGTGGTTCAGTCTGTCACTGTGGTTAAGCCAAAGCTTAGTTATTGGAGTTGGGAGGTCTTGTAGGCTTGAAGCAGCATAGTACTGTTTGTGTTGTCTTCTGGGTTTGGAAGATTGTAAGGTTACTGTGTTCTGGTAGGTAGTCAAAGGTATGCCAAAGTTTTTAGGCTTTTTTTTTTCCTGTTGTTTAAGAAATAATGAACATATGTATACAGAGAGAGAGAGAGAGACAGCGGTGCCAAAACGTATTTATTTAGAACATCTCTCTCCTGAGAGGTTCTGACAGTCTGGGGCTGTGGTGAAGGCTGACACATCACCTGTGCACGTTAGGTAGGCTTGGGGCCTCCTGACACTAAAGGGCTTTCTCTGACTTCGTGTGGGCCAGGGTCACAGGACACAGCGCCCCTCACCACACTGATTGGGTTACACGCAAATTTTTCTACCTCACTCACGGCAAAGTCATCTACCTCACGTCGGCACCTGCTGGGTCTGAAACGGGTTAGTGTTACTCCGATGGGGAGTGGGCAGGCTGCCTCAGAGGAAACAGTTTAGGGATCCAGAACTGACTTTCCGTAGAGAAACGTTTGACCTTGAACAAGAGACGTTTTGTCGGTGTAGTCATTCATCCAGGTAGTTCTCGGCCAATCTTGCTTTCCCCCTGCCACAGACCCAATCCTGCATACAGTATTAGGAAGTTTTTCTGGCCTGATGGAGAACTACAAGAGAAAGCTGTTGTATCTGTTAGGAGTGTCTACAAACATGCCCTTTTAGTTGGAACCCTAAAGGTCTTTTGGGGAGCATTCAGGGTTTGAAGGGAACAAGAACCTCTGGCTTCATGATTGTATTTGTGGCTGTCTGCAATGGCTGGGGATGTGTGCACTGCTCTTTGATTTGATTATTTGCTCTTCCTACCAAAGGCAACACTTTGACATTTGTTGTGCCCCTCCCCCCTTTTCTTCTTTGTTAAATACTTGATAAATTTGAGAAGCACATTATCAGGAAATGCTGTACTGTTAACCTACCTCTGTACATCCCGGTAACCTTCTGGTCGACCTGGGTGAGAGCCTCCTGAAGGCCACCAGAGTTAACTGGGTTTGGGTTTATGAATAAATGTCACCGTGAAGAAATACCTCAATAATGTCTATTTTTAAAATTGGTCTTACGGGTTAACAGATGCAGCCTGGTGGGCTGTTTTCCATCGTCATTTAACCAGCAATGGTTCTAAATGTTTTTGTGTATCCACATGGTCTTAGACCTCCTTTTAATGATTGTATTAACTTAACGAGCTCAGGTCGTATCTTAAGGCTATCTCAGAGCACACTGGCTCTCGTGGCAGCAAAGCGTTGACTTTGTGACCAGCTTTTGGTTCTAGCCGTCTGTGTAGTTGTACTCCTTTAGGGGGAGACTGTTCATATGTATGGGGCTTTCTTGTTTTTAGGGTGGTAAAGTGTCTTTTCCCTTTCAATGCTGGTGAGGGTGGGTGGTTTAGCGATGTTTAACTAGCACGTTACATGTAGTTGTGGGTGGGAGGGTTGTTCGGTTTTTGTTTTAATGGATCTTGTTGAATACTGTCCATTAGCTCTCGTGCCTGGTCAGCCAAGGGGGAAGAAAAAAGGAACTTACTTTTTCAGTAACTGTAGACTACGCAGCTCGGTGGGGCGCCCCCCCTTTTTTTTTAAGATCTGGGTGGGATTCACCGAGGCTTGTTGCCTGGTGACCAGATTAAGTCTGTTCTTCTCACAACAAGCTGAAGGAGCAGACTGCCAGCATTCTTCCCTGGCAGCAGCCCACCTGGGATTCCAGCTGCCTCTGCCACTTTTAGAATTGCTGTGGCATTTCAGAGCTCATCAAGGCAGTGGGTGGTTAGGGGAATTTCCCCCAAACCTCAAAGCAAAAGTGTTTTTTTTTTTTTAATGGGGGGGCAAGTCCCTTTCCTTGCGTTTTGGACTTTTACCTTTAAAACCTTAAATGTTACTATTGCTAGCCGCAGGCATGACGGGCAGTGAGCAGGTGAAGAGTCAATGGAGAAGAGTTCCAAACCTCCTGTGAGCTGACAGGCTTCTGAATGTATCTCTGTGCTCCACAGGGAAGGCTGGAGAAGTAGCAAGGAGACGTATCAGCTACTGCAGCCTTAAAACAAAGCCGGTGTCTCTTTGGACTTTAAAATTGTTCCTATGCAGCTTATTTTATTTTTGTTTAATCAAATAAAGAGGGTCTTCCTGTGAAAACTGTGTCTGTGTGGTCTTTCCGTCTGGATTAGGTGTGTGTGCGCGCGCTTGTGGTGGGACATAACTCCCTGGGGTGTGGTCACCCCAGGACTGTGCATGGGCGTATGTGCTAACCTGAGTATTGGTAGAATTATTTTAAGAAAAGAGGCCTAGCCGGGCGGTGGTGGCACACACCATTAGTCCCAGGACTCGGAGGGCAGAGGCAGGCAGATCTTGGTAAGTTGGAGGCCAGCCTGGTCTACTGAGAGTGTGCCAGGATAGGTTCCAAAGCTACAATGAGAAACTCTGTCTCAAAAAAAAAAAAAAAAAAAAAAGGAAGAGAGAACCAACTCCTAGTCCCAGGACTCGGAGGGCAGAGGCAGGCAGATCTTGGTAAGTTGGAGGCCAGCCTGGTCTACTGAGAGTGTGCCAGGATAGGTTCCAAAGCTACAATGAGAAACTCTGTCTCAAAAAAAAAAAAAAAAAAAAAAAAAGAGAACCAACTCCCACAATTTGTCCTCTGACCTCCACATTTACACCATGAACACCACCCCCCTCATGTGTGCGTGCATTTAAATTGAAACAAAAAGCAGGCTCTGCATCTCTGTCCCTCCTTCTCCCAAAGGAGGGTAGTAGCAGATGTCTCTCCAGAGGGTGAGTGCTGTGTGTGACTCACCAGCTGCCACTGCTTTTTTTTCCCCCTCAACTTGGGGTGATGGGTAAGTATCCATTATCCATTTGAGAGCTTTGCTGCAACCCCGAGGAAAGTGAGTGACTCCTCCTGGTAGGTAGTTCCTGCTTGTGGGGGCCGGGGAGCAGGCACCAGAGCTTTTGAATTCTGCATGGTAGGCACATACATGTAATACCAGGAAAACCAAGGAGGGTCATGAAATTGGGGCCAGCATGTGCTATGCAGTGAGGTTCAGCTTAAAGCTCCCAAGATTGGGAATAGGTTTAGGGGCTGGGAGATGGCTCTGCTGTTAAAGAGTACTTGCAGAGGACCTAGATCGAGTTCCCAACCCCAGTTCTAGAGGATCCAATGCCCTCTTCTGGCCTCTGGGCGCACATCCATAGTGCACAGACCTACGTGGAGGTAAAACACCCATAAACAGAAAATAAAATTTTATTTATTAAATTATGAATGCTCTGTGATTGCAGGCCAGAACAGGGCAGCAGATCTCATTGCAGAAGGCTGTGAGCCACCATTAGGTTGCTGGGAATCACACCCAGGATCTCTGGAAGAGCAGCCATCTCTCCAGCCCCCATAGAAAACAACATTTAAGGATTGAAGCGAGCCCTGCCTGTTGCCACCTTTCTCTGGGATTTACTGGAAATAAAGCTCAGTCTTACCCGACTGTTTCTCGAAGCAGATGTCTCCGGGTTTGAGGAGGGTTCCCGGAAACTGGAGAACGCCCATCTGACAGAATTCTGTGTTTTTTCCTAAAACTGTTGTGGCTTGTCACTTCGATATGGCCAGAATGTAGAACGCTTGCTAAGAGGCAGGGTCCCCTCTTGAAAGCCCTGCGAGTTTGTGGTGGGCCCTGAGCTTGTGTCCCTGGTTTTGGTTTTTCTTCGCCGTCTCCTGTCAGTCTTTTGGCCTGTTAACCATAACTGGGAGATGTTGGAGATGGGCTGAGGGGGGATCATTTCTGAAGGAAAAACTGAAGTTCGTAGGCTGGGGAGATGGCTCAGTAGGTATCAGGTGATGGTGGCTCTGGGATTGGTTCCTGGGACTCGTGTGATTGGAGTTGTCCTGACCCACAGGATGCTGTGGGATGGCGTGTGTGTGCGCCCACGTACAGATTTTTGTTTTTAAATGATAAAAACACCAGTTCCATGTGAGTCCCACTGGCTGTGGCCCGGTGAACTCAGTCTGAAGGGCTGAGTTGATGGCACCTAGGTAGCCCTTACTGAAAGTGAACACCCAGCAATACATACAAACCAGGTATTTTACATGGATATGGGGAGAGGCTGGAGCCTTCACTTTCTTCTTGCTGGGATTACAGAGTGAGCCAGACACTTGACCACAGTTTAGCCATTTCGCGTGGTGAACACAGCACTATTCCCAAGGGAACTGTAGACCTCCACAGAAACCGTCTGAGTTTTCACGGCAACAGTATTCCTGATGAACTAGTACAGACAGGAGGAAATGCTACTCAACGTGGTATTCTTGGTGGAATGGAATGTGTTGTCTTCAATGGGTTGAGTGGATCCCACAGTTAATGTACATGAAGTAGGTTTAGGCAAATACATGAGGCATCTTGGGGTAGAAACCAGAGGTTTTGGAGACAGAATCTGTCTAGGTGTCTAACCTCTTTGCTAACAATTAGGAGTTCTTACACATTCAGCGTAGTACAAGTCAGTCTGGGCATCCAGGACCTAATGGGCATGGTTTCTCAGCTATGGCGGATGCATTCTTATAGAGTTGCTTTGCTAAGTTTTACAAGTTAATTTGGTGTTGAACCCAGGGCCTTCTGCATTCTAGGCAGACTTTTGGTTTTTCAAGACAGGGTTTCTCTCTCTAACCCTGGCTGTTCTGGAAAATCCTGTGTAGATCAGGCTAGCCTTGAACTCACAAAGATCCACCTGTCTCTGCCTCTGGAGTGCTTGGACTAAAGGTGTGCACTACCACTGCCTGCCTACGCAAGGACTTTTTTTTGGGGGGGGGGGTTGTTTTTCGAGACAGGGTTTCTCTGTGTAGCTTTGGAGCCTGTCCTGGAACTCACTCTGTAGACCAGGCTGGCCTCGAATTCACAGAGCTCCTCCTGCCTCTGCCTCCTGAGTGCTGGGATTAAAGGCGTGTGCCACCATTGCCCTGCATGTCATTTATCTATTGTGGGTGTGTGCGTTGGTGGGGGAGGGGTTGAGTGTGCCACAGTTTACCTGGCTGGAGTTTGATTCTTTACACCATGCTGGTCCCAGAGGTCCAAAGTCATCCGGACTCAGCAGTAAATGCACTGGGCCTGCTTACCAGCCCTTATTCTTCGTGTGTTTGGGTGAACTCAGATTGTCAGTACAAACCACCTGTATGTGTAAAGTAATTTAAAGTAGTCGTCTTCAGGAGTGCCAACGGGATGTCTAGAAACAATAAATGTGCCTGCTGCCAACCAAGACAACCTCAGCTGACCCGAGTGTACACACACATTCACTTGAGTGAGCTTGATGCACACACAAACAAACACACACACACACACACACACACACACGTGCATCTGTACCATGTACATGCCTGGTATCTGAGACAGCCAGAATTGGGGGTCAGATTCCCTGGAACTCTCTTCAGCTCCTTCCTTGGACTCGATCCTTCTGCCTCACCTTCCCAGGTAATAGTTGAACTTGTTCCCCCACACCCCGGATGAGACACTCCTGGAAGAAGCTGGTTGGGAAGGGCCCTTTGGGGGTGTGTCATTGTCATAGCGGGAGAGGTGCTTATTTACACCTAACTGTTGGCTCCTGTGATGTGAATGCATTTGTTACTCCCTTGGGGTCGGCTAGGATAGGTGGAGCAACAGCAATTTATTTTTCTTGAGTAGTTTCCTGAGGTTTCACTGGAGAGATGTCAGTTTTTTATTTCAGTGAAGGAGGTTGGCCTCTGGTTATCCTCTTCAAGAGTCCCATTTCTGATAGTACTTTAAAAATTATAACAGGGCCGTGGTTGGTGGTGCACACCTCTAATCCCAGCACTCAGGAGGCAGAGGTAAGAGGCCAGTCTGGACTACGGAGAGTTCCTGGACAGCCAGGGTTACACAGAGACACATAAGCTCTGTGTTATCTCCCCCCCTCCCCCCAGGCATTTACCTGGGGCTAAATTAGCTGAAGCTAGTCTGCAGATTGCATTAGGAGACCCTTCTGCTCAAAGCAAGTTGAATGGGTGAACACTGGCTGTGCACCTGTAATGTAGAAGAAAGTGGTCAACTGGGTGGCTTGTAGGGCTTGAACCGGGCCTTCTGCCTGCACTGGGATATTTCTCTTGAGGTTTGCTTGGGCCCGCAGCTATAAGGACCAACGGGAAAGAGATGAGAAGGGCTAGGATCCACTCCTGTGCAGCTGTAGGCCAGGTACCAGTTGCTTATGTGACATAACTTTCCAGATCGGGAACCCACAGCAGACCAAAGTCCGACTTGGTGAAGCAATGAGCTCTAGTAGGGTCACTTACAGGAATGTGGGTGAGGGGTCACTTACAGGGGCAGAAATGACTCACAGCTGCATCACGAAGGCCCGTGGGTGACAGCTCATAAAAGCTGGTTTGCCCTACGGCCTGCAGGCAGCGTGGCTGGTTGGAGAGCCCTTCCCTGGTGCCTCCTCTGATCTCTATCCCTTCCAGACAGCCTGGCTCGGTTCTGTGTCCTCCAGGCTGCTGCTCCTGGTCTCCTTGGAGTTTTTCTCCTCTTAAGATCGTGTTGTGGCCGGGCGTTGGTGGCGCACGCCTTTAATCCCAGCACTCGGGAGGCAGAGGCAGGCGGATCTCTGTGAGTTCAAGGCCAGCCTGGTCTACAGAGCGAGTTCCAGGACAGCCTCCAAAACAACACAGAGAAACCCTGTCTCGAAAGCCCCCCCCCCAAAAAAAAGACGGTGTTATGAGGCTTGGCGCTCAACTCTCTGAACTGGGCTCTGCTTACTCTGGCAGACGGGCCTGGTGGAATCTGGTCAGTTTGAGGGGAGTTCCTGAAGCTGCTTTGGCGTTTATTACCTCTCTGCTCTTAGGAGCTCCCCTGCCGTGGGGGAAGAGTTGATCTGGAGACTGCAACACTTGGCTGGGAATGCACAGCCATCAGGCACCAGCAGAGATGTGGGGCTGCAAAGTGTCACAATGGAAACCCCTGAACAAAAAGGTATCTGTTTGCAAAGTGGAGACTTGGGGGAGGGGGTATGCATGAGTGGCAGTGGTGCAGCTTGAATCCCAGCACTGGGAAGAGGGAGGAAGCCCAGGCTTCACAGTGAGGACAGCCAAGCTACACAGTGAGACCTTGTCTCAAAACAAATGGATACATCAAGCTCCTCTCCCCCTGCGGGGCCTCGGCCCTGCTAAATCAGTGCTGTGTATGTTTGTCACCCCCAGCCATAGAGGTGAAACACACACTTCCCTGGGGACCTGAGTAGCAAGCGAACCAGGAGTGCCCAAGAGAAGTGAGGTTGTCGGGAAGCCACCTCTGGAGGTATACTTTCGAGAAAGGAGTCACATACTGATTTATTTTATCGGTGCAGCTTTTATTGTGTTTCTCTGGGGTGTGTGTGTGTGTGAGTGTACCCATGCCGCAGAGCCCATGTGGAGAGCAGAGGACAACGCTGAGAAATCCCCACGGGTCCTGGGTATCAAGCCCAGATCGTCAGGCTAGCACACGGCAACCTCCTTATCCCAGGCGCTCCACACAGCACTTGCTTTTAGACTGCCATGTTGCTTTTCCCCTTGTTTCTGCCTTCACATCTGTCAGGACAACTGTCACAGCTCAGCCCAGAGCACAGAGGATCCAAGCCAAGGGCTGGCGAACTCTCACTGAGGGAGGAGATTCCAGACGGTGACCTTAAGTTCATTGTGTGGCGGTAGTGGGGCGGGTAGGCACTCCATTTGGCACCAGTAGCCCACAGGGTTGTGAAGAGCAAGGGTTTTGGAGCTTGAACTTTGCTTAGCATGTTGACTTCGAGGTATGGAATAATTGCACAGCAGAATGGTCGTTTCCAGGGCAGGGGCCCAGTGTGACGGATGAGGGAGGGGCAGGCCTGGCGGAGAAACTGCAGACAGGTTGGGAGAGCTCCAGGAGAGGCATCCAAAAGCAGGTCTTGGGTAGGGAGCAGGTGGGGTTGAAGGCTCAGTTGAAAGGTTCTAGATCTAATTCCTAGGTCCATAACTTGACTCAGGTCAGACAAGGCCTGATTACAGCTGTGTTCCTTTCTTCTCTAACCGGTTCTGCAGAATCGAGAGAGAGTAGTTCTCACCTACATGTATCATCCTCCCTGTGGGCTTGACGCAGAAACCCAGCTTTCAGGTCCCGAAGCCTCCTATTAAGTCTAAACCTATCTGCATTTGGGGTTTAAGTTTCTTATCTTTTAAATGAACCACAAGACTTGGCCCAAGCCACTAAGCCCTGCCCTGGTTTGCTTTGATAAAGAGTTCATCCAAGGGCTGGAGAGATGGCTCAGAGGTTAAGAGCAATGGCTGTTCTTCCAAAGGTCCTGAGTTCAATTCCCAGCAACCACATGGTGGTTCAACCATCTATGATAAGATCTGGTGCCCTCTTCTGGTGTGCAGACATACATGTAGGCAAGAACACTGTATACATAATAAATGAATCTTTAAAAATATATTAAAAAAAGAGATCATCCAATCCAATCTACAGCCTCCCCTAGAGATGGCGACTGGCAGCTCTTTTGTTGCAAAGTAGGGAATGGTAGTCATAGTGACTATGTCAGGTGCCTGCCTAAGTCTGGCTGACGGTGTTGGTCATGGACATCTTACCAGCAATGGACCTACACACTTCCTTTCATAAGGCAGTCTTATTGAGATAGGGTATCATTGTGTAGCTCTGGCTAGAGTTAAACTCAAGATCCTTAAGATCCTGGGGTGCTATAGGTACAGGGGTACCCCTTTCATTATCAGAAATAGTCTTTAAAAGAATGTCATCATATTAAATATTTTCAGCGATGTGTGTGCACATTATTTAGGTTGAGGTCCCATGGAGGCCAGAAGAAGGGACTGGATTCCTCCCCACTCCGCTCCGGAGCTTAATTTAGATGCAATTGTGAGCCCCCTGATATGCGTGCTGGAACCCAACTCAGGGTCCTCTGGAAGAACAGCTCTTAACTGCCGAGTCATCCCCAAAAGCCAGGAATCCAGGGAGTCGAGGAGATAAAGACAATCCCGAGAGGCAATGAAGTGGGCATCATAAGCAGGGACCACTGCCTTTCTCTGGTGGGCACAGAACGCAGGTGCGAGCCAGCCAGTGCAGACAAGATGGGCCTGCAGGCCGAGGTGCCTGCCGCCAGGCCAGACAGCCCAAGTTTGATTGCAAGCTACCACACGTACATACACTAAGTAATTATTTTTTTTAAAAGCTTGTTCTTGAGACAGGGTTTTACTGGGTAGACCAGACTGGATTTGAGTTCACAGAGATCTGCCTGCCTCTGCCTCACGAGTGCAAGGATTAAACGCGTGCCACCACACTCAGCGCCATTTCCAGCTCTTGAGTAACGAAACCCATTTCCTAAATGATCAGTGTAAACTGGGAAATGCTGCCATCTGCTGGCTGTTGTGGCTTCTAGCTAACAGCCCGTTTTTTGGGTTGTTAAAGGGCCAACCCAACCAATGTCAGAGTCACAGCAGAGCGAAGGGGGAGTGTGCCCAGGGGAGGGAATGAGGAAGAGGGGGCCAGGCGGTTGGATAAAAACAGCTCTCAGAGTCCCCGTCTGCATCTTAGACAAAGGTGGCACATGGACGTTCAGTAACTGGTCCCAGGCGACAAAAACTGGGCCAGGAGACTGCAGACACCTTCCTACTGGGGGGAGTGCTTGGGTTTAGGTGACATGATCTGAATGATGCCCAGGTCATCCCAAATGGCAGTGCTGTCGGAGCCGAGATTGAAGCCGCCGTGGTTAAATGATGCACACATCCCTGGAAGCACCCTGGAAATGAGGATGGACCCAGAGTCAAGGGAAGCCATTTTTAAAAAATATTTATTCATTTTTTATGTGCATCGCTGTTTTGCCTGCATGTGTATGCCTGTATAAGGATGTCAGGAACTTGAGTTACAGACAGTTGTGAGCTGCCATGTGGGTGCTGGGAATTGATCCCAGGACCTCTGGAAGAGAGCAGACAGTGCTCTTAACCTGAGCCATCTCTCCAGCCCCGGGGAGCTATCTTTCCTGGGCTTCCCAGCAGCAGTTGTGGCTACGGTTTCTCCCAGCAGCCGCCTCAGCCGAGGAGCCTCCCCAGGAGAACCCCAGTCCCCATCCCAGCACTCGGGGGGCAGCAGTAGGTGGATCTGTGAGTTTGAGGCCAACCTGGTCTACATAGAGAGGTCCAGGACAGCCAGGGCTACGCAGAGAAACCTTCTCAAAGACATCAAACAAACAAAAAAGATCTGTTACCCTGTCTCCTCATCCTCCAGCAGAAGATCAGAATCCAGCTGAGGTGACACGGTGATCCTCAGCCTTCGCTGCATCTGTCCAATAAGGCAAACACACGATCATTTGATGTTTTGAGTGTGTTGACTCTCACCCTCAACGCTGCTAATCTCAGTGACTTTGTTCCACTGATAGAGCCCCCCCCCACACTTCCCAGTCTCTAGGCCCACAGCTGATACCTGCTTTGCTTTTCTTTTTTCTTAAAGTCAAGAGTGGTAGCACCTGCCTTTAATCCCAGCACTCTGGAGGCAGAGGCAGGAGGATCTCTGTGAGTTCCAGGCCAGCCTGGTCTCCACATTAAGTTCTAGGACAGCCAGAGCCACATAGCGAGGCTTGTTTTTTTTTTATGCATTGATTTATTCTATGCAGATACGTGTTGTTCATGCATGTATGCCTGTGTACCATCTACGTGGCTGGTGCTCTCAAGATAGGACGTTGGATGCCCTGTAACTAGAGATGCTGATGGTTAGCAACGCCCATGGGAGTGCTGAGAACTGAGCCTGGGTCCTTAAAGGCAGTAAGTGTTGCTAACAGCTGAGCCGTGACTCCAGCCTCTCATTATATATTTTATTTGACTCATTAAGTTTTTTTCATTTACAACGTTTTTATTTTTATTTTTTTGCTTGCTTTGTCTGTTCTTGAGACGACCTCACTAGCCTTGAATTAGTGTACATGGCTGAGGGTGATCTTGAACTCCGGATCCCCAAGTGTCAAGTTATGGGTATGTGCTACCATGTCCAATTTGGACTCAGTTTTGAGTCCCTGGCTTGATCCAGTCACTTCTCCTCTCAGCAGCGAAATTTACGTTCCAAATCTCTTCCGTAGCCAGGTTCGCACGCTCTGCAACCTCCGTGAGTAACCCCATCCTCTCCCACCTCCAGCCAGGTGTTAGACAGCTGGGTTTACCCCGCCCCCCCACGCCCGTGCTCTGAGACCACGATTATTATAATTAGCCAATCAACAGGCGCCTAGCTAACCTCTCTCAGAAGCCTCCTTACATGCTTTTTCTAGCTCTCTCTAATCTGCCTTGCCTGGCAGATTTCTCTAGCTGTTTCTGGCTGCTTAGCCACTGAACTAAGCCACTGCGGTTGTGCCGCAGAGTCCCAGGGGGCTCCTCCTGGAGGTGCGTGGGGGGGGGGCTTCCTATTTCAGTTATGCTGCTCCCCTGGGTAGCCTCAAGGATTTTCAAGCTTTTGGTGTTGGAATCAGACTTGGTCCACCAGGGGGCGATACAGCTCTCTGTTGGACACTGGCCTGATTTGGTGGTGTCTGGGCAGGCTTTTCGTTGAGTTTTGTTCTTTTCCGACCGCTCCTTTCTCAGAAATCAAGCCTACAGTGGCTATTGTCAAGAGCAGGATTGTAGGCCAGTTGTGTTCCTCTGGCTTGGGACACACCATCTTACCTCTCTGGCTTCCTGTTTCTTTACGTATTATCTAGACATTGTGGGGGAAAAATGATCTTATACTTACTACTAAATTCTATTTCTTGGCAATTTCGTACATGTACACAGTGCATCCTGGTTACCTGCCCAATCCTATTTTTGATGTTTAGGTTATTGTTGTTGTTTTTAAAGATTTGTTTATTTTTTTGTCAAGTTTAGTGGAACACACACAGGCAAAACAGATCTCTGAATTTTCCAGGTAGCGAAGGCTACATAGTGAGATCTTGTCTCAAACTCCAGGACTCCTGCCCCTGAAAAAATTATTTATTTCCATTTTATGTGTATGAGGGTTCTGCCTGCATGTATGTAAGTGTACCACATTTCCACAGAGGTCACAGGCTCAGAGGAGGGTGCCGGATCCCCTGGAACTGGAGTTACAGACACTTGGGTACTGAGAAGGGATTTCAGGTCCTTTGGGAGAGCAGCCAGCCATGGGGCCGTCTCTCCAGGCCCTGGCGTTTAGTTTGAAATTCCTCCTGAAGGACAGCCCGACTGGTGCTCTGAGGACTGGACGTCACCTGTCAGCCTGAGTGCTGGTTATCTCTGGGGTACCAACTGCCCCATCTCGAAGGCTGAAAGCTGCCCTTCATCTCAAGACTACTCAGCGTTCACTGAGACAGCTACCGGGATCCAGTAATGGCTGAGGGGACGGGGCAGGCTTGGCCATTTCTATTGCTTTTTTTTTTTTTAACGTGGATGGACATTTTGCCTCCATGCATATCTGTGTATCACATGCTTGCAGAGGCCAGGAGGGGGCATCAGATCCCCTGGAGTTGGTCTTACTACTACAATTTGACCCCCTTATGTGTGACAGCTAGCCTCCTTATTGAATCAAAGAGGCCTGCAAAGTTGCCTTGCACGGCAGACAGATACAGACTGACTTTGCCCCACCGTACGTGTGAGTGCTGGTTTTCTCGAGTTTCTTCTGGCCTTGTCAAGTCTGGAAAGTATCGAGGAGCTGAAGGAAGTCATTTGGAGAGCATCACACAGATGTGCCTGTCTGGCACTTTAAAAATATATTTATTTATTATTATTTTTTAAAGATTTATTTATTTCTTACCTATACACTGCTCTGCCTGCATGCCAGAAGAGGGCACCAGATTGAATTGTAGATGGTTGTGAGCCACCATGTGGTTGCTGAGAATCGAACCTGGAAGAGCAGTCAGTGCTCTTAACCTCTGAGCCACCTCTCCAGCCCCTGTTTATTACTTTTTGAAGCATGGTTTTTCTATGTAGCCCTGGCTGTCCTGGAACTTGCTATGTAGATGAGCCTGACCTTGAACTCACAGAGCTCCACCTGCCTCTGCTTTCCAAGTATGACCTGCTTGCCTTGCATATTTGCAAGGGAGAAATAACCAAAAGGTCACTTACTAAAACTGTAAGGAACGCTGGGTGGCGGTGGCGCACACCTTTAATCACAGCACTTGGGAGGCAGAGGCAGAGGAACCTCTATGAGTTCAGGCCAGAGTGGCTAACAGAGTGAGTTCCAGGACAACCAAGGCTACCCTGTCTTGAAAAACAAAAACAAAAAAGAGCATTTCTACTATGTGATCAGTTATAGGAAAAATTTTATGTTTTGTTTTGTTGTCCACTCCCAATGCCCCCAGAACTGAGTACCAAACTCAGGGCCTTGAACTTGCTAGGCAAGCAAAATCTCCAACCCCACAAAGTGCTTTTTATTACTTTTTTTTTTAAGCTGTCTCTGCGTGGTACTGGGAATCAAACCCAGGGCCTTGACCACACTATGCCAATTCCCTACATCCCTACCATACCACAAGTACATTTTTTTTTGTTTTTTATTTTTTTTGTTTTATGAGACAGGGTTTCTCTGTATTGTTTTGGAGGCTGTCCTGGAACTCGCTCTGTAGGGCAGCCCGGCCTCGAACTCACAGAGATCCGCCTGCCTCTGCCTCCCGAGTGCTGGGACCAAAAGTACATTTTTACAAATTAAGAAGCTGTAAAAGTTTTTCTTTTTAACCTTCCCCCCTCCCTTCCCTGTCTCCCTCCCTCCTTACCCTACTTTTTTTGGAGGGCATGGTCACATGTAGCTCAGGTTAGCCTTAAATGTGCTATGTAGCCAAGGATAGCGCTGGGCTCCTAAGCCTCCTGCCTCTGCCTCCCGAGTGCTGGGATTACAGGAGTGTGCCATTACACCCCGCTTCTTTTCATTTTTCTTCCTTCCCACGGAAGGGACCATACCACTCTACCCTTGAATCTGGGGAAATGAGTCACTCAGGGGTTTTTTTTTTCTTCTTCTTCTTTTCTTTTTTCTTCTTCCTTTTGTCAAGAAGCTTCATGTGGGTAAGGGAAGAGCTGGTATGTCACAGGAAGTCACAAACCCTTCAAAGTACCTGTGCTGCTTCAGGATCCTGGCATTGCCTCACAGACTGTCCTGGGGGGGACCACTTTCAGGAGATCAAGGTGAGTAGACACGGGACATTTGCAGGACCTGTGGCTACACAGTTGCAGGTTCGGGAGGCAGCACTGACAGGTAGCTGGCCACCAACATTCTGGGTTTTTTTTTTTGTAGATTTATTTTGTGTGTAAGAGTGTTTGCCTGCATATGTGTAAGTGCCCCATGAGTGTGCCTGGTGCCTCGGATCTCCTGGAATCAGTTATATAGATGGTTGTGAGCCACCATGTGGATGCTGGGAATTGAACCCAGGTCGTCGGCAACAGCTGCAAATGACCTTAGTCACTGAGCCATCCCTCCAGCTCCACGCTCGGGCTTCCTTATCTTGCTGGTGCTCACTGACCTACATCTTGGAACGTACACACTTTCTACCTGCTCGAATGCCTCCTAAGGCTTCACAGCCAGGCACCCACACAGACTCGACTCTGCCCCCAAACCCTGGACTTTTAGCAGGATTGCAGACTTTTCTGCTTCCTTAGCAAGGTTTTCAAGCCGCAGGAATGCCACACACACAGGAATTACAGAATCGTAAGCAGTTTACTTACTTATTTACTAATTTTCTCTTAAGATGCATGTCATTACATTTACTTACGTGTTATGTGCATGTGTATATACAATATGTGTACACTCGTGCCAGAGTGCGTGGAGGTCAGAGAATGATCTACAGAGGGCTCTTTTCTTCTACCTTGTGGAACCAGGGGGTTGAACTCAGACTCGATGGCAAATGTCTGCATTTGCTGACCCATCAATTCTGCCTCACTTGTTTTTGCGAGTCTGATATAGTGTAGGCTGGCTCAAACTCACAGTGTTGTAGAGGCTGACTTTGAACTCCGCCTTTGCCTCTCAAGTGCTGGCGTCTAGGCATGAGCCACTCTGCTGGGCTAACCTTTTTCTTGTTTGCTCTTCCAAGACTATGTTTTCGTTTTTCCTTTAATTCTCAGCAGTAAAATGATAGTGTCATAATAGAGTTGTTAGTCACTGACAAACTCCTCTCGGGAGACCCTGCCATGCAACAAGACTTCAGTATGGCTTCCCAAGAAAGAAAAATAAATAGAATCTCTCTTGAGAAACCCCAGGGCGGAGGCTGGGGGATGGATCAGAGGGCAAAGTGCTTTGCAGCCTATGCACAAGGAAGGACCCGAGTTCAGATTTCTAGTAGGCAAGCAAAAGCCAGGTGTGGTGGCACATGCCCATAGCCCTAGCTTTGCAGGGTGGAGATGGGCACGTCCTGGGGGTTCCTTGGCCAACCTGACTGCACATGCTCACAGATGTGTACCCATGTTTACACTGCACACAAACACACACACTCATAGGAACACTGGAGTCTTTGAGGCATGTAGTAGTGAAGATATAGGGAGAGATTAGACAGGAATTACTGAACAAAACAGGAAGGGTTTAATAGGGACTTTCAGGGTGCCACAGAGACCGAAATCAGCAAGCATGGGGTAGCCCTGGGTCAGAAAGTTACTCACTGCCATGTGATCAGGTGTGTGTTTTGTGTGAATGACTGTAAGAAATGTCTTAACCTCTGTACCCACCAATTCATTCATTCATTGTTAAGCTTTATTTACTTATTTGAAAGGGTTTCTCTGTGTAACCCTGGCTGTCCTCGTACTCACCCAATAGACTAGGCTGGCCTTGAACTCACACAGATTTACCTGCTTCTGCACGACCCCCCCACCCCACCCCCCACCCACCCCCGTGCTGGAATTAAAGTCATGTGTCACCAATGCCTAGCAGCTCTTTTGTTAACTTAAAAATTGATATATAGCCGGGCGGTGGTGGTGCACGCCTTTAATCCCAGCACTCGGGAAGCAGAGTCAGGCGGATCCCTATGAGTTCGAGGCCAGGCTGGACCGACAGCCTCCAAAACAATACAGAGAAACCCTGTCTCGTAAAAACCAAAAAAAAAAAAAATTTATATATAGGCCAGGCAGTTGGTGGCACACACCTTTAATCCCAGTGCTCGGGAGGCAGAGACAGGTCAATCTGGTCTACAGAGCAAGTTCCAGTGTGTGTGTGTGTGTGTGTGTGTGTGTGTGTGTGTGTGTGTGTGTGTGTGTGTGTGTGTAGGTCAGATGACAACTGTGGCCATTGGTTCCTGCCTTCTATCCCATGGGTTTAAGGAATTGAATCCAGGTCGACAGGCATAGTAACAAGTACACTAACATGATGAACTATTTCACCTGCCCTGTTTGTTTTCATTTTATTTACTGAATTTTATGTGTATGACTGTTTTGCCTACTTTTATGTCTGGGAACCATATTTGTGCCTGGTGCCCACAGAGGCCAGAAGAGGGCATCAGATCCCCTGAAACTGGAGTTGCAGATGGCTGTGAGCCAGTGTGGGAGCTGGGAATCAGACCTGGTTCTTCTGGAAGAGCAACCAGAATTCTTTCTTTCTTTCTTTCTTTTTTATTTTTAGAGATAGGGTTTCTCTGTGGCTTTGGAGGCTCCCCTGGGATTAGCGTTGTAGACCAGGCTGGCCTCAAACTCACAGAGATCCGCCTGCCTCTGCCTCCCTACCTCAGTGCTGGGATTAAAGGTGTGTGTCACCAATGCCTGGCTAGCAACCAGAATTCTTAACCACTGAGCCATATCTCTAGCCCTTGTTTGTTTTTTGAGACAAGGTCTATGTAGCCTTAGCTTGCCTGGAACTATGTGTATACAAGGCTGGGCTCAAACTCACAGAGCTCCGTCTCTGCCTCCTGAGTGTTGGGATTAAATGCAAGGATCACCTTGCCCAGTTTCCATATATATATATATAGTGTGTGTGTGTGTGTGTGTGTGTGTGTGTGTGTGTGTGTGTGTAGGGGTATACTTGTGCCAGAGGATGAGTCTCTAAGAATCAGGACTCCCCTTCATCTATGTGGTTCCCAGGAATCAAACTCAGGTTTGTGAGGCTCAGTGGCAAGTGTCTTTACCTGCTAGGACATTCCACTGGCCACAGGGACCATTTTAAGCTTCCCGCCTTGAGGGAGGAGCACAGCCCTTACCTACCCATGAGAGAAATGAGCTTCCCAGCAGAGAGGGTGAAGTCGGATGTGAACGCATCTGCCTGACTCCCAAGGCTGAGATGATTTTCTCTGACCTTGATGTCCCTTCCAGACAGGCGTGCAACGGTTTGGGGCAGCGTCATGTACAGCTGTTCCTTGCATTTAGCAGCCTTCTGTTCTCATCCTCACAGGCGTCTCCTCCTTTGTTCTTTTCATTGGCTTCTTCTGCTTGTGTCCAGAGCCTGTAGATCCCAAAGATGAACCCCACGGATGTAGCAGACACCACACAGGATGAAAACGCGTACAACAGTTACTACCTCTACGAAAGCATGCCCAAGCCTTGTACCAAGGAAGGCATCAAGGCGTTTGGGGAGCTCTTCCTGCCTCCTCTTTATTCGCTGGTCTTTCTGTTGGGTCTGTTTGGGAACTCCATTGTGGTTCTGGTACTGTTCAAATACAAGAGGCTCAAGTCCATGACCGACGTGTACCTGCTCAACCTTGCCATCTCCGATCTGCTGTTTGTACTTTCTCTCCCATTCTGGGCCTACTACGCCGCCGACCAGTGGGTTTTTGGATTAGGTCTGTGCAAGATTGTTTCATGGATGTACTTGGTGGGCTTTTACAGTGGCATCTTCTTCATCATGCTCATGAGCATAGACAGATACCTGGCCATTGTGCATGCAGTGTTTTCCTTGAAAGCGAGGACTCTGACCTATGGGGTTATCACCAGCTTGGTCACGTGGTCAGTGGCTGTATTTGCCTCCCTCCCAGGCCTCTTGTTCAGCACCTGCTACACGGAGCGCAACCACACGTACTGCAAGACCAAGTACTCAGTCAACTCGACCACATGGAAAGTCCTCAGCTCCCTGGAGATCAACGTCCTGGGGCTGCTCATCCCCCTGGGGATCATGCTCTTTTGTTACTCCATGATCATTAGGACCCTGCAACACTGTAAGAATGACAAGAAGAGCAGGGCGGTCAGGATGATCTTCGCCGTGGTGGTCCTCTTCCTGGGCTTCTGGACGCCCTACAACGTGGTGCTTTTCCTGGAGACGCTGGTGGAGCTTGAAGTCCTTCAGGACTGCACGGTGGAGAAGTACCTAGACTACGCCATCCAGGCCACAGAAACTCTGGCCTTTATTCACTGCTGCCTCAACCCCGTCATTTACTTCTTTCTCGGGGAGAAATTCCGGAAGTACATCGCCCAGCTCTTCAGAACGTGCCGGGGTCCTCTTGTGCTCTGCCAATACTGCGACTTCCTTCAGGTCTATTCAGCCGACACCTCCAGCTCCTCTTACACGCAGTCCACTGTGGATCATGACCTCCGCGACGCTTTGTAACACGTGAACAGGGGGATCATGGCCTTAACAAGCTCCCCACACCCGGCACTAGGTCACCTTGTTTTCAGTAAGGGTCCCCTGAGCAGGTGTCCAAGGAAAACAAACAAAAATCATGGAAAGGCAGCTTCTCACCCTGCAGCTCACCCTTACTCTTTCCATAGACAAGTGCAGGCCGAAATGTGTTCAGCTGGGCTGCGTTCGTCACACACCAGGTCTGTCTACAGGGAGAGAGGAACCCGGGGGAGGCCTGCGAACAGAGTCTCGGTGACCTTCTAGATTGCACTGAAGACACCTCCCCTCTTCCCGGCCTCCCCAGGGACTCTGCAGAGAGACTCAGAGTCCTGATGGGTGGAGGAAATCACCCCTTTGCCATGGAAACGAACCTTTGAATGAATCTTTGGCCTTTGTGGAACTATCTAGAAGATTTTAGCATGCTGTCATCCTCGTGTTTTTCCAGTGGTAGTCCGTGAAGCCAGATGTATAGAGAAATGAGGATCTTAGATCTTGCTTCTTTTATTATAGAGGGTTGTTCATTGAAGCCTGGCTGCGGGTGTAGGTGAGGAGGCATTCAGACGATCCTGTCTTCACCTGGAACAGGCATTTAGAGGACACCTGTTGAAATCCACACGCAGCTTGGCTTGCTAATATATGTTTTAATTATAGCCTGTGGTTATTCAAATTGGAGAAAACTGAATCAGGCCAGAGAAGGGGGAAAGGGCTCTGTAATCCTAGTTACTCAGGGCCTGAGACCAAGGGATGTTAGATTCAAGGATTACCTAGACAATGCCAAAACCAAAACCCAGCAAAACCCCAAAGTTTAGCTCTAAAAGGCTCTTGTGAGTATTCTAAGTTCATCTTTTTTTTTTTTAATGTGAGCTGTTACTGGGCATGGTGACAAATGTCTTTAATCTAAGCACTTGGGAGGCAGAGGCAGGTGGATCTGTGAATTTGAGGCCAGCCTGGTCTACACAGTGAGTTCCAGGCCAACCTAGGCTATGTACTGAGACGTTTGTCGAAAGAAAGAAGGAAGGAAGGTTAATAAAGTATGACAATATCTCTTTGAAAGTATGTCGTGCCATCTATTGAGATAAGAATAATCAGTTAAAAGTTATTACTGGTGGGTGGGTGTTAAAATAGCTATTAAACTATGAAGTTGAGACAGGCTGGGGTGATACATGCCTTTAATCCCAGCAGTCTACAGACTGAGTTCCAGGACAGCCAGGGTTAGAACATTATGATATTTCAATAGCTTATCATGTTATGTCATTAAGATAATTTGCCGTGTCTGTTTTTACTCACACCGTTTAGATTTTTATAAATTAAGTGTTTGGGTGCTTACCTGTATGTGTGTCTGTGCACCACATGTTTGCCTGAAGCCTGCAGAGGCCAGAAGAGGGTGTCGGATCCCCTGGAACTGGAGTTACAGATGGCTGTGAGCTGTCATGTAGATGCTAGGAATTGAAGCCTGGTCCTCTGGAAGAGCAGCCGGTGCTCTCAACCACTGAGCCACCTCTCCAGCCCCGTTTTTGAGACAGCCTCACTGGAGCACAGAATGCCCTAGGACTAAGTGTACAGCCAAGTTGGCCTGGACCTTCTCCCAGTTGTTTTGCTTCTGCCTCTCGTGTGCTGGGGTTGCAGGTGTGAACCCCACGTCCCGCTCCGCAGCTTTGACTGCTCAGAATTGAGCAGCAACTCCAACAGAGTCGGCGCCAGCAGATTCCTCCCAAAATAAGAGCCAGTCTGGAGAGACACCGAGTTAAAATGCTCCCAGTAAGTTTGACATTTGTAGCTCTTGCTGCCTTTATAAAGAATGTATTTTTAGAAGTTTATTTTTCTGAGCAGTGGCTTTAAGAAGAAAATGTGATACTGCCTTTATAGAGAACAAAATAAAGTTGCACATCTAGCTGCA